TATCCATGAGCATGGGAGATCTTTCCATTTTCTGACATCTTCAATTTCTTTTTTCAGGGGACTTAAAGTTCTTGTCATATAGGTCCTTCACTTACTTGGTTATTTCATGTCATTTGTGGCTATTGTAAAGGGTGATGTATCTCTGATTTCCTTCTCAGCTTCTTTGTCCATTGTATATAGGAGGGCTACTGATATTTTTGAGTTGATCTTGAGAAAATTAACAAGATAGACAAGCCCTTTAAACTTTTCTTAAAGTATGAATTTTATATCAAAATTTATAAAACATATTTTTTAATTTTGTTATGGTATTAATAGTCATATAGTGTAATAATTAATTCTAGAAAAAAAAACGGCTTCATTTAGCTGCCTATACATGTTTTTGTGTTTGAGTCTTTATCAGTTTTCTGCAGGGAATCATGACAAGGCCTAACATTGAATTTGAAGTCACCAGAAAGATAATGGGGCCCCACAACAATGATTCCACGTGGACAATAATAATATCAGTAAGCTGAAAAACATCACGCAAGGATCAGCTTTGAACTATAAAACTGCTCAGAACAATTTCAAGATGGTTAGCTGAGCTGATCCAGCCTCATAGACTACTTGAACAAGGACTTGAGATAAACCCTGCACTTTGACATTATGCAGAGATAGGACAACAAATGATATAGTTACCTCTCCCAGAACTTGACAATTAACCCAAAAATTTTTCTTTTCAGGATCCCTGAAAGATGCCTTCACCCACAAACAGCAGGAAGCAATTTTAAGAACATGATACCCATATTCCCAAAGAGGTGGGGTAGGGTAGGTGGTTTTTGGTCTTTCAATAGTTTTTTGGTTTGGGATAATTTTCATTGTTTGGAAGGGTTGGTTACAAGTTGTTGTTAATGGTTAGGAAAAGGGCTAAACAACAGAGATTAGATTTAAGGTTCTTGTTTGGGTAAAAGGAAAAAAGATACATAGAAATGATAGAATAGAGGGTAGATTATAGAATCTACTATGAAAAGAAAAGAGAGGATATAGATATATAAATAAAAAGATAGATTATTGAATCTACTTTTAAAAGACAACTGCTAGCTTTAAATACTTTACATTGAATTGGATTTTTATATATTGTATACAAATTATATATATTGAGATTGATATTGTTAGAAAATCCTGTATGTATATTTCTAATCTTATTCAGGATATTGAACTTTACAGTTCATTTAACAATATAATGCAATTTGCTAATCCTTGAATGTTATTATTACCAACTATTAGGATATAAAGAAATGAAAGTAGTTAGACATTATAATCAAACTTGTAGTCATATTAGGTATGTTTTCAAGGTCAAGCAGAGATATATTAGATAGACAGGTCATCTTCAAACCCTTCAGAGATCTACAGAATATGGCATTTAAAACGTTTTAATGACTTACACTTTTTTTTATGACTATGAGACATGTCAGCTCCTGGCAGCACCAATCTACTTCAGAGAAGATATGAGCATTGAAGTAACTGCATATGGAGTCAACTTTTATTGTGGCTAAATTTAGCCACAGGGCAACAAAGTGCCCTCATATCGACTGCTGACAGTATACTAGCCAAAATGGACAAACAGGACACAAAACAAAGGACTACCAATCCTTGACAAAACAAGTGTGGTTTCAGCTTTAGCAATAGGCATCTTCTGAGGCCAGGACAATATGACACCATCGCTGAAGTGGCTCTGCAATCCAGAAAAGGTACAGTGATCCTTTTTTCGAAGGCAGCTAAACAGGCAATGGACCATGGCTTCTGATGTGCAGTGGAACAGTGGCTGGAACAGTTATTCTTGAAGGAGTAACTTGGCTGATGGAGTCTAAACTCTCAATGGTAGACTGGCATTTAATAAAGGAGATGAAGCCACCCACAAGCTGAGAAGAATGGGAAGCTGAATTCCAAAAACACCAATAATTTCCAGAATTTAAAATCCCGAATCATGACAGGACACTGGTGGAATTCAGGTGTATCTGGTACATGGAATACTCACACAAAATGTGAGGTAGAGCTGTAGGCCTTGTGTACATCTACTTCACAAATGAATCTGTCAGATATGCTAAGCCTATAGGCTTATAGATGATGCCCCAACGTTGCAGAGAAACCTCAGGTGACTGTCCAGGCAGCTGGCTGTTTCTGTCAATTCACAATTTTTTGGAAGCTGCTTGTTTGCACTTCTTGTTTTACTAGGTAATATTATTTCCTTCTTGGGTCTCTGAGGGAGTTGAAGATTAGATACTTATAGTTTTCTTTGTTAAGAAATTTCAGAAAAGAAACTTACTAAAGAGGTGTAAAGTGTATAAATTTGAAAGACATTATAAGACAGTTCTCTGTTGGTAATACAAGTTAGGATAGAAAGTGAATCAGGTATATTTTGGACTTACCAAAATAGGATGGATAATGGTTCTCTGAATTTGTCATTTGCAAATGGACTAGACATTGTTGATGTATTTATTGTTTGTATATATTGTATATAGTTATTGTACTTATTGTATGTAATTTTTCTTTTTTTCTTTTTTCTTTTCTTTTCTTTTTTTTTTTTTTTTTTTGGTTTTTCGAGACAGGGTTTCTCTGTGTAGCTTTGCGCCTTTCCTGGAGCTCACTTGGT